CATTAAAGTCGCTTTGATGACTAATGTGCTTCTGACCCAAGACATGGTATTTTCACTCACCTCATATGCATGCAAAAGTTGGATAATGAAAAAGGAAGATAGGGGAAGAATTGGTGCATTTGAACTGCGGTGCTGGCAAAGAATATTGAATATACCCTGGACTGCCAGGAGAATGAACAAATCAGTCATAAAAGAAATACAACCAGAATGTTTCTTAGAAGTGAGAATGGTAAGACTTCAGCTCGCTTACTTTGGACATATCAGGAAAGATCACTTGTTAGAAAAGGACATCATGGTTAGTAAGGTAAAGGATCAGTGAAAATGAAGGATACCTTCAATGAGATGGATGTACACAATAGCTGCAGCAATGGACTCAAACATACCAATGATCATGAAGATGTCACAGGACCGGGCAACATTTCTTTCTGTTGTACATAAGGTCACGGTGAGTTGGAGCTAACTCGAAGACAACCAACAACAACAACAACAAAATTGATTAAACATACAAAACAGAGACAGCTTATTTGAAGTTTTGTCTTGAGAAAGTATTTGACAGAGAAAGTTCGTATGAATAGATACAGAAATACAGTGTCTTGGGAAATATTTGGCCTGATATTTAATATTCAATATTAAAAAATAAATTTGAAAATATTCTCCATATATCACAATTATGTTGGAAGTTTTCAGCATACCTCAGTGCCTGTAGACAGAGTATTTTCTTAATTAAAATTATGGTCTACAGTGAAGAGTCAGTTGAAAATGTCAATTTAATGACCTTTAAGTGCAAATCTGAAGATTAAAAATAATTTTATGAAAATATTAGTAATGAAAAGATGACTTTTAAAAAGTGCATTCTTTGGAAAAGTAACTATGACATGAGAGTATAGTGAGATACAACTATGAAACTAATTAAAACAAATGAGGATGCACCATGAATAATTATTGTGCAAGTATCACTTAAAAGATTCAGGTAATCAATATGAACAAACTTATTTTTAATGCACAGATATATTTTGAAAAAATTTATTTGTGAAAATAAATAAAAACAATTTCATAGGTCTATGAGTATATAAAACTATCTGTCAGTTGATAAATATTTTTTAAATGATATAATTCTAAATACTTTCATTCTTAAAGTGTACTAGTTTGGATGATAAATTATCCTTTCACTCTAGATATAATGGGACTCTATATCCTAGTTTTTGAATATTGAAATGCTTAAACTAAAACATCAAATTCATTACAAATCTAAAGGACTTCATGAGGATCTTTTATTAAGTTAGCGTACTAACTCATGCTCTCTTCACAACCAGAACATAAGTAGTTGGGTGTTTCATGGTAGAAAAAAAATCTGTCAACCAAAATAGGAAGTTTTAATCAAATTGAGCCACATGGAAATTTGAGTCATTTTCCAAGAAATTGTTTTGACCTAAGCTGTATGCGGCTAAAAAGAGGAAGCCACTTTTTGCCCTTTGGGTCAAATTCCCCGGTGCTTTCAAATGCCCCTTTATAAACATGAATACTTATGGGGCGGACAGATGGGTTTTCACCATTGTGTTCCATTGGTAGACACCAGTGGATTACGGAGCATGAATTAGGTCACTTTGGCAGCATAGCTAATTTTTAACACAAACTGCTTGAAGAATTAGTCAACAAGAGGGTAACGGAAAAAAGAAATTTAAAATTCGGGTGAAAAAGTAAAAATGGCAGGCAAGTTTGATGTTACAAAGGAGGAAACAATGAACCTAACCTCTCCTTATGGGCAGAACGGTTGGTGGGATAAAGAAGTACAGATCAGATGGCAAGACTTTTCTCAGGCCATCCCAGCACCCTTTATTGGTGAGGGGTAGAAATGGTGCACCTAACCTCTGCCCTTCTTTTTGGTCTCTTTGAACCAAGTAGCTTCATAAGGTAATAGGGGCAGACACAAAAAGGAAGTTTGTAATTCGGGGCACTTCTGCCATATTGGAGCCCTCATGGCATAGTGGTTAAAAACTCTGCTGCTAACCAAAAGATTGTCAGTTCAAATCCACCACCTACTCCTTAGAAACCCTATGGGGCAGTTCTACTCTGTCCTATAGGATCGCTATGAGTTGCAATCGACTCGTCGGCAATGGATTTCTGCCATATTGGTGCTTTTACCTGAAATCACTACTGGATAGTGGTTCTCTTTCACTGCATGCATCAGTCTAGTTTAATGGAGAGAGACTACAAGATGAAAATGAAACTTTTTAAAATTTTGTTTCACAGAAAGGTATTATAGGAATGTTCTCTTCAATTAGATGTGTTTGCTCAACAATGTGGTACGATTCTTGTCTGCGTAAAGTTGTAGGTTAAAAAAAGTTTTTTTTTTAAGTTTTAGATGTCGTGTATTCGGCATAGTGGCTACAATGGCTCAGATATGCAAGACTGAGAGAATACCGGCTAAATCTCAGTAAGAACAAAGTCTGTAGAGGCACTAGCACATGGTATCAGAATATAAGAAATAGTGTAAAACACCACTCTTTGGGAAATCGTTTTCTCTAACATTTGAATAATTTCCAAATTCAGTCTATAAACATTAGCTTCCTAATATTAAAAAGGTTTTCAGTATGTAAAGCTGAATTCCATTTCACAGAGAGAATTATAGACTGAGGAAGGTACGTTTATATTTGCTTCCGATTCCATGAAGAAAAAAACAATCAATTGTTGAATATATCCTCTTTGAGAATAACCTGGATAGGATGCAGCCCCCTGCAGTATACTAACCAGTATACTAACCAGTTATTTTGAAGCATGTCTCCAGCTGCCTGGTCTGTTTCTGGGCATGTGACGGCAGCTCATGGCAGCAATACTGGGATAAAGGGGATGCCAGTCATTTCCCTTTTGGTTTAAAATTTAGTTTCATTTGAATTAGTCATTATTCATTTTATTCAAACACATTCTTTTTGGTGGTCTTAATAGTCATGGTGTACCTATCAAAGATTTAGTTGGTAAAGCAGTGATTCCTATAATGCACGGCAATGCATTTTCTCAAAATGTGTTTTGATAACGTTCATTAACAGGGCAAAAGTAATCTAATGTTTGTGGACGCAGTAAGTGGGTCAGAATATTCCATGCCTCCGGAAAGATTTGATGTGATTGTGCAACACATGAATGGAAATCTACATCTGAACCACTTATAGTTTGAATCATTGTTATTGATTGACTGTGACGTAGATAATTATGAAAAATAGAGGAAACCAACCCTCAGTATATACCAATCAACAGTTTTGTTTTTCTTTTGAGATTTGTTAGTTTTTGTTTGTTTTTTATTTGTAAATGAAACGATGGTTGCCAAAGAATGACGGAAGAGTTGATCAGGCCTGTGGTGACTGAGAATGCAGTAGAGTTTGAATGAGAAGTGGCAGTACTAGGAAATATATTATCTATGTCTATGAACAGGTGAATGGATAAAAAAATGTGGTATATCTATAGGATGGAATATTATTCAGCCATAAGGAGAAATGAAGTTCTGATACATGCTATGACATGGATGAACTTTGAAAACATTTTACTGAGTGAAATAAAAAATAAAATAAAAAACCCATTTGTCTTAGTCATCTAGTGTTGCTTCAACGGAAATACCATGAGTGGATGGCTTTTAACAGGAGAAATTTATTCTCTCATTAGTCCCGTAGGCTACAAGTCCAAATTCAGGGCATCAGCTCCACGAGAAGGCTTTCTCTCTCTGTCAGCTCTGGAGGAAAGTCCTTGTGATGCATCAGTCTTCCCTTGGTCTGGGAGCATCTCTGCGCAGGAACCTCAGGTCCAAAGGACATGCTCTGCTCCCGGCACTGCTATCTTGGTGGTGTGAGGTTCCTATGTCTATCTGCTCACTTCTCTCTTTCGTATCTCAAAAGAGATTGGATTAAAACAGTATCCAATCTTGTAAACCTCATCAGTATAACCTCATCACAGTGATAGAATTTACAACACATAAGGAGATCACATATAACCTCATCATAGTGATAAAGTTTACAACACATAAGGAAATCACATCAGATTACACAGTCATACAATACTGGGAATCATGACCCAGCCAAGTTGACAGATATTTTGGGGGGACACAATTCAATCCATGACACTGTTGCCATCGAGTCAATTCTGACTCACAGCGACCCTATAGAACAGAGTAGAACTGCCCCGTGGGTTTTCCAAGGAGTGCTGGTGGATTAGAGCTGCTGACCTTTGGGTTAGCTGCCAAGCTCTAAGCCACTTCGTCACTGGGGCTCCCTGAGTGAAATAAATCAGTCACGAAAGGACAAGTATTATATGATCCCACTTATATGAAATATCTAGAATAAGCAAATGCATAGAGACACAAGTGTATTAGTGGTTGCTAAGGGTGTGTGGGAGGGGGGAAGGGAAAGTTATTGCTGAAAGGACACTGAGCTTCTGATAAGGGTGATGAAAACATTTAGAAATGGATAGCGGTTATTGTTATGGATGTAATTTACGTCACTGAATTTTCCACATAAAATCAGTTGAAATGGTAAATGTTTTTTTATATATACTTTACCACAATTTTTTTAAAAAAGGAAATATATTTTCTGGATATCCAATATGCCAGATTGTTGCCTGCTGCAAACATTTCTGAATGACCGTGATGGGGGTGGGTGCTGAGTGAGCTTGCAGATACCTTGTAAAGACAAAGAGGAAATCACGGCCAGCCAAATAGAAGGGATTGCAGAGTTCTCTGAGAGAAGCAGCAGCCAGCATGGGAATGAAGCCCCAGGTTCTGTGGGGCTTCCATTCATCACCTCATAATATCGAAGGAACAACTGAGGTTTTGCGTACTACCAGTGGGAACATCCGAATGAGTGAGCAGAGATTTTTTTTTGGAGTCAGTAAATATTCAAATAGTGAAAAATGTGATTTATCTGTTGGAATCACTCTGATAATAAAAACCACATATGATACTTATAGCAGGACAACAGACATGAAGTAACTCAGCTACATCTTGCCTTTATGTTTCCCAGGAATCCGAGAAAAAGGGGCTAATTGAAAGAATATACATGGTACAGGATATTGTTTCAACTGTTCAAAACATCTTGGAGGAAATCGCTTCTTTTGGAGAAAGAATTAAAAAGTAAGTTCTGGATTTTCGTTGTGGCGTTTGAACTAGAGCTGTCATCCACAAGGACAGCTCCTGAGGCAGTGGGAGCAGGGAGGGTGGAATCATATAAAGCAAAAACAACGGTGGCGCTGTGCAAGTCCTGTTTGACTTTGGAGGGCTAGTTCTTTGGGCTTGTCAACTTCACAGTTGGGCAGTGCCTCAGAACTAGGGTGACCAGATGGCCCAATTTACACCAGTCGTTCTAGCATAATTATAAGTAGTACCCTATTTCACTCTTGAAAATATCCTCATTTGGGTAATAAATTATGGTTACCCTACTCAGAAATGAGAAGGGAAGTAAATGTGCTCTAAATAAGTCTTTGCCATCTGACCCATGTTTTTCTCAATTCATTAATGTATTTTCTCAATACATTAATAGTACCATCATAAGTGCATAGATATGAAATTAATTCGGACATGTACGTGAATACCTTAGGGCAGGAGTTGACAAACTTTCTCTGTAAAGGGACAGAAAACAAATATTTTAAGCTTGGGAGCCATATGATCTGTGTCAAAACTACTCAGCTCTGTCACTGAAATGTCAAAGCAGCCATTGAAGATACGTAAATGAATGCGTGTGACTGTGTTCCAATAACACAAAAACAAGTGATGGGCTGCATTTGATCCAAATCCAACCCATAGTTTACTGACCCTACCTTCAGGTATCAGAGCTAAACTGTCTTGCGGGCTTTTTGTTTTGTTTTGTTTTTTTTACACGTTGTGAACTCCGCATAACCTGGTCTTCATTTGGTGTCACTGAAAAGGGAGGTGTTTTGTCTTGTTTTTCCCGTTTGGGTTATAAATGCATACTTTTCCCTCTTTTAATTCGGGATTGTGTCAGCATGTTGTTATTTGTATGGGTTAGTTAAATACTTTTTCTTATCTTATTGGTCATGTCTGTATGTATAATTCTTGATGTAAAACGTTCTTAAGGCAAGGTCGTGGAAGCTTCACAGACACATCCAAACTCCCTGAGAGACCATTACTGCACTGAGGGCTGGGGACCATGGTCTTGGGGAACATCAAGCTCAACTGGCATAACATAGTTTATAAAGAAAAGGTTCTACATCTTAATTTGGTGAGCAACGTCTGGGGTCTTAAAAGCTTGTTAGTGACTGTCTAAGATACTTCACCGGTCCCACCCCATCTGGAGCAAGGGAGAACGAAGAAAACCAAAGACACAAGGGAAAGATTAGTCCAAAGGACTAACCGACCACAGCTACCACAGCTTCCACCAGACTGAGTCTAGCACAACGAGTTGGTGCCCGGGATCTGACCAGGATCACAAAAGAGGGTTCCAGACAGAGCTGGAGAAAAATGTTGAACAAAATTCCAGCTCACAAAAAAAGACCACAGATTTAATGATCTGACAGAGACTGGAGAAACCTCAAGAGTATGGCACCCAGACACCCTTTTAACTCAGTACTGAAGTCACTCCTGAGGTTCACCCTTCAACCAAACATTAGACAGTCTTACAAAACAAAATGAGACTAAATGGGAACATCAGCCCAAAGGCAAGGATGAGAAGGCAGGAGGGGACAGGAAAGCTGGTAATGGGGAACCCAAGGTCAAGAAAGGGGGAGTGTTGACATGTCAAGGGGTTGGCAACCAATGTCAAAAAACAATGTGTGTATTAATTGTTTAATGAAAAACAAATTTGCTCTGTAAACCTTCATCTAAAGTACAATAACAAAAGAAAAGAAGCTAGATGCTTAAAATTGCATGGGTAAAGAAGAAATGAAAATTAGTACTAAAAGCCAGATGAAAGTTTCATTCATCAAAATATGGGAAAAATCAATAAATTGGGAAATATAAATAGCTAATACAGAAATTTCATTATGAATACTGATTGTCATTCTCAGTTGTATATTAAAATAAAATTGCCCTTGAACGACCATTTAGTATCAGCATAATGAATATGTTTGTTTTGTTTTTTAAAAAATTAGTTAAAAATGCACCTTTAAGCTAGTTTGGTCAGTTTTTATTGAATTTACCTATTTTAGTTCTCATTATCAGTGTCTTGAGAGAAGGAAGATTAACAAGCAGTAGAATTTTCACTCTGATATATTGGTACCGATCTGCCTTATTCCTCTAGTTTCAAATAAATTGACAAATGGTTCCTGAGTTTACCCTCTAAAATGTCTAACTAGTAGAGAGTAGAGAACAGTGAAATGATGATGAGGGGACCACAACTCTTCATTCATTCACTCATTCAGTTATCAATTATTGAGTGCCAGGTGCTGACCTGATCCAGGAAGGAGAACAATTTCAGTAATAACAATGAGAGTAGCAAAAACTAATATCACATGGTAGCCAGGCACCTTTCTAAGCCATATACCCTAATAACCCCTTTACTCATTCCTACAACTGTATGGTATAAGGATTGTTTGTATCTGCATTTTACAGATGAGGAAGCTGAAGCACAGAGTGGTTAAATGTATAGTTCAAGGTCACAGGATTAGCAAGTTGTTGATTTGAACCCTCTTCACTACTATGCTATAATGTCATTATCCTGTAGGAATCTGTTTTCCAGTGAGGAATGTCATTATCCTGTGGGAATCTATTTTCCAATGAGGGAGAGAAGCAGGTAATGGACAATTAGAATTCAATGGTATTAATCCAGTGGCATTTTTTAATGAGATGGAGAAACAAATCACCAACTTCATATGGAAAGGGAAGAGACCTTGGATAAGTAAAGCAAGACGAAGAACAAAGTGGGAGGGCTCACACTACCTGATTTTAGAACCTATTATACCGCCACGGTAGTCAAAACAGTTTGGTACTGGTACAGCAACAGATACATAGACCAATGGAACAGAATTGAGAATCCAGACATAAATTCATCCACCTATGAGCAGCTGATATTTGACAAAGGCCCAAAGTCCGTTAATTGAGGAAAAGACAGTCTCTTTAACAAATGGTGCTGGCATAACTGGATATCTATATGCAAAAAACTGAAACAAGGCCCATATCTCACACCATGCACAAAAATGAACTCAAAATGGATCAAAGTCCTAAATATAAAATCTAAAATGATAAAGATCATGGAAGAAAAAATAGGGACAACTCTAGGAGCCCTAATATATGGCATAAGCAGAATACAAACCATAAATAACAACGCACAAATGCCAGAAGAGAAACTAGATAACTGGGAGCTCCTAAACATCAAACACTTATGCTCACCAAAAGACTTCACCAAAAGAGTCAAAAGACAACCTACAGACTGGGAAAAAAATTTTGGCTACAACAAATCCTGTCAGCATCTAATCTCTAAAATCTACAAGATACGGTAAAACCTCAACAAAAAAAAAAGACAAATAACCCAATTAAAAAATGGGCAAAGGATATGAACAGGCACTTCACCAAAGAAGACATTCAGGCAGCTAACAGACACATGAAGAAATGCTCATGATCATTAGCCATTAGAGAAATGCAGATCAAAACTACAATGAAATACCATCACACCCCAATAAGGCTAACATTAATCAAAAAAACACAAAATAATAAATGTTGGAGAGGTTGTGGAGAGACTGGAACACTTATATACTGTTGATGGGAAAGTAAAATGGTACAACCACTTTGAAAATCTATTTGGTGCTTCCTTAAAAAGCTAGAAATAGAAGTACCATACGACCCAGCAATCCCACTCTTTGGAATATATCCTAGAGAAATAAGAGCCGTCACACAAATAGATATATGCACACTCATGTTCATTGCAGCACTGTTCACGATAGCAAAATGATGGAAACAACCGAGGTGCCCATCAACGGACAAATGGATAAACAAATTATATATTCACACAGTGGAATACTATGCAATGATAAAGAACAACAATGAATCTGTGAAACATAACATGGAGGAATCTGGAGGACATTATGCTGAGTGAATTTAGTCACATAAGGACAAATATTGTATAAGACCACTATTATAAGAACTCCAGAAAAGGTTTAAACACAGAAGAAAACATTCTTTGATGGTTACGAGGGTGGGAGGGAGGGTGAGGGTTATTCACTAACTAGATAGTAGACAAGAATTATCTTAGGTGAGGGGAAGGACAGCACACACTACAGGGGAAGTCAGTGCAACTGGACTAAACCAAAGCTAAGAAGTTTCCTGAATACAATCAAATACTTTGAGGGACAGAGTAGCAGCGGCGGCGGTCTGCGGACCATGCTTTCAGAGGATATCTGGGTCAATTGGCATAACAAAGTTTATTAAGAAAATGTTCTGCATCCCACTTCGGTGAGTGGCGTCTGGGGTCTTAAAAGCTAGCAAGCGGCTATCTAAGATGTATCAAGTGGTCCCAACCACCTGGAGCAAAGGAGAAAGAAAAACACCAAAGACGTAAGGAAAGTAGTAGCCCAAGAGACAGAAAGGGCCACATAAACCAGAGACTGCATCATCCTGATACCAGAAGAACAAGATGGTGCCCGGCTACCACCAACGACTGCCCTGACAGGGAATACAACAGAGAGTCCCTGATGGAGAAGGAGAAAGGTGGGGTGCAGAACTCAAATTCTAGTAAAAAGGCCAGACTTAATGGTCTGACTGAGACTGGAGGAACCCCAGACAGCATGACCCCCTGACTCTGTCAACCCAGAACTAAAACCATTCCTGAGGCCAACTCTTCAGACAAAGATTAGACTGGACTGTGGGACATAAAATGATACTCATGAAGAGTGTACTTCTTAGCTCAAGTAGATACATGAGACTAAACGGGCAACTTCTGTCTGGAGGTGAGATGAGAAGGCAGAGAGGGTCAGGAGCTGGTTGAATGGACACGGGAAATCCAGGGTGGAAGGAGGAGTGTGCTGTCACAATATAGGGGGAGCAATTAGGGTCACATAACAATGTATGTAGAAATTTTTGTATGAGAGACTAACTTGAATTATAAATTTTCACTTGAAGTACAACAATTAAAAAAAAAAAAATTCAATGGCATTAGTACCAGGTAAAGGGGCCCAGGTGGCACA